CAATGCCAATCAGACCGAGATGGGCATAGGATCCTTTGGAAAGAAGCTCTTATCCTTGCGTACCAGAGGCGTTCCCAGGGGTTGGTGAAACCAGACCCTGCCAGGAGCACAGGCCAGTATGTGTATGTGCAAAAATCACCTCTCGAACTATGGAATGTATGGTGTGCATGCGACTGCTGTCGTCGTGAGATCAAACACAGAAGAAGAAGAGTTTGGATTTGATATCCCGCTTTATCACTACCCGAAGGAGTCTCAAAGCGGCTAACATTCTCCTTTCCCTTCCTCCCCCACAACAAACACTCTGTGAGGTGAGTGGGGCTGAGAGACTTCAGAGAAGTGTGACTAGCCCAAGGTCACCCAGCAGCTGCATGTGGAGGAGCGGAGACGCGAACCCGGTTCACCAGATTACGAGTATCGCTCTTAACCACTACACCACATTGGCTCTCACAGCTGCCGTTCCTTTCTTGTACCATGGCACCAAGGCATGCCATTTTTATTTTTTTGTCCTTCCTTCTTGCCTCAACCTCACTCTGGATGCTTTAAGTACTTGGGTCATGTAAAATGTTGTTTCTTTTTCGGGGGTAGAAACTGATACAGCTCCTTGCCAAGGGTGTAAGGAACCCTAGGTACGCCTCTGCATGAGACTGCAGTGATGATAGCAGAACACAGGTGGAATGGAGACTAGGGCAACTTTAACCAACCTGATTCCCTCCCAAGGTTTTGGAAAGCCACTCCCATGGGGCTGACCAAAGCTGCAGTCCGAAGCATCTGGAGGGCACCAGGTTGGCAAATGACTAAGTGGGCTTTTGAATTCATGCTGATAAGGAATGGCATATCCACTAGGCCACCCACAGACTCAATGACCTTGACAAGGTCAGTGCCCTTTAGAGTTATCTGCCTTGGAAGCAGAGGATTTCACCTCCCCATCCCAGATTTCCATTCAAGATTAAGCACATGCCAACATTTCCTCTCTCCCTGACACCCCTTTCTTCCACTAAAAGTGTTAGTCAGTTACATTCCTACGCCATCCATTCTCTATGGCACTCAGCATACAGCAACATGTTTAATCTCTGCAAATGAGATTGGGCCAGCCACCGTTTTTAGCAAGCTTCATGAAGACTATGGATCTGCCGACCCTCAGCAGAGTTCTCTGGGAAAGGCAGAAAACTATAAAAAAGCATTTAAGGCTACCCTGCACTTCAGAGAGATTTCTGACCACCCCAAAGCTAAGTAATACATGAGACCCTCCTGCACATACCCCAAATCCTCTGGCAAGTCAAGAAGCATTGGGAATGTAGGGGGGCATCCTTCACACATCCATCAGACCATTGGTCAATCTAGCTCAATACGGTCTACACTGACTGGCAGCAGCTCTCCAGAGCTTCAGACAAGAGCACTGTCTGCCCCCCAGTGCCGAGAAATACCAAGCGCTCTGCCATCAAGTACAGCCCTACACCATCCTGGACCCCAAAATGAGAGGCCACAGCATGGTAGCAAGGAGCAGTGTTCAAAATTACCCGGGTGCAAGGCGCATCTTTCGCAGGTCCAATCTACATGGAGATTTCTGGGCACCACGCTGGCAACCACACTTAAAAAACATCTGCCATAGTCCATAGTTAATTCCATGTCCACTGTGTGTGCTTCTCCTCCTTGCATACTGGGACAGGTGAATCGTTAAGAGCAAGCTACAGTCAATCAATGTAGTTGAGATCATAGAATTGTAGCGTTGGAAGGGACCCCAAGGATCATCTATCCCAACCCCCTGGGGAATAGACATTCTTTCATGGCAACTGCAAACCTAGGTTTAAGGTGCCATTTGGCATCTAGCTTAAATATCTGAGTTTCTAACACTGGCAAGGAGGCTCTACGGACAGCAAATCTGAACTAAGGACACAGCTCCAAGGACTGTTCAAATTGCAGGCTGTGATTAATTCAGACACTTTGGCAGGAAAAGTTGCCCATCACGTGGCTGGAAGCTACTCAGACCTTCTGCAGAGTCCTCTCTACAGGTGAGGAGCTTGTAGCTTTCTAGTTGTTGCTGGACTCTGCATTCAGAGCAGCGGTCAAGGCTGATGGGGAGATGAAGCCCATCAAACATGTGGAGAGCCACACAATTTCCTGTTCTGCACTCGCAGTATGAAATTGGGAAGGAGGGGGTGAAGGAACGGATACATGGGAGGGGCCTTGGCAAAGTCAACGCAGCCTAAATAGTAATAATCTAATTACAATGGAAAATTGGTTAAATTTATTACATTTGACAGAGCTTTAAAATGTGGCAGATGTCTTAGTGTTCATCAGCCACGCCAGATAGCTTGCAACACATTGCAAAAACAGGAAGCAACTGAGAAACAAGTTTGTACTTCCACACCTGGAATTGCAAGGACCAGAGAGAAGCTGGGAAGAAGCTGGAGAGACTTCCGAGGCAACCAGGTTCCTCTAGCTGTGGCCTCAGCTAGCGCCTCGCCCTGCAAATTTAATCTGGATTTGATGGGAAGACTGTCTGCAAGGTGGGGCTCCAAAGTACCTTTTGCATAAGGGGCTGCCAAAAGCCTAGGGTCATGTCCACCACATGCCTCACATGAATGCAGAGAGGGCAGACTTCAGGCTTGCAGGACCAGCTTCTCTCTTTTTCATACCATAAAGTCCACCAGCCTAAGCCAGGTGCAAAATAGCAGCTCAAGCAGGGCAGACTTGCACTAAGAATCCAGGCACACGGTCTGCCCAGGAATCGGTGTTCAGCACCAGCAACCAAAAACGAACATACTTCCATGCAAATTTCAAGAACTTTTTAGCTGATGCTATTGTTAGACAGCTGGGAGTCAGAAATCTACTGCAAATCAACCAGAGATGTCCATCAACCTTCTGACCTACAGTACAAGACAAGAGGAGGAAAGGTTTACGGGGGGGGGGGTGCCCATCATGCCTTAACCATCAGAGTCCATGGCTGGCGTGGTGCAGTGAAGTTCTGGCTTGCCCACCATTACAAGGAAGCCTGGAGGTACCTGCTCACTTTATAATTCCACACTACAGTGGTACCTCGGGTTACATACGCTTATGGTTACATACGCTTCAGGTTACAGACTCCACTAAGCCAGAAATAGTACCTCAGGTTAAGAACTTTGCTTCAGGATGAGAACAGAAATTGGGCTCCGGCGGCGCGGCAGCAGCAGGAGGCCCCATTAGCTAAAGTGGTGCTTCAGGTTAAGAACGGACCTCCGGAATGAATTAAGTACTTAACCCGAGGTACCACTGTATTTAAAGCTCTGGTATTCTGGCCAAACACACACAGAGAAAGTGTACCCAACTCACAGCTTTCCGAACTAGCCCAACTATAAGAAGCAACTGAGCTATATAGGACTGCTACCATTTGAGAAGCCGCCCCAGAGATTTTGAGAGCTCTGAAACCAGAAGTAGCAATTATGTAGGAATATTCAGCAAGCGGCATTTCTCCCACACCCTTTTACCTCCTTCTGACTTCTTCTTTTTTTCAAAGCAACCTAGGAGCGCTCTAAATATTATATTTAAAAACAGCAGCTCAAGCCACAGCCAGACACTCATTTTGTAGCAGCAAAGGCACGGGAACAATTTCACACATTTAGATGAGAGGTTAGGAGGAGCTGTGCTCCTAACAGAGAACGGCAGTTTGTGCAAACGGCTTTTAAAAGCTCGATTCAGAATTCCATTAGGAACTGCCTAGTTTCAAGGAATCATAATTTTGCTGAGTAGCACATTTGCTTTAAGACATAGAACGATAATGGTCGCTTAAAGCATAATGAAGACAAATTTGTACAACAAGCCCATTTGGGCTTTGTGCGTGTGGCTTTTGTTTTAGAAGTAGCTGAAAATGTCCCCAAGTGAAGCAGGTGGGTGTTCAGAAAAAGAAAAGAAAAACTATTATTTGCTTTCCACCTCTGTATCAGCAAAATCTCTTAAAACTTATTTAAATTTATAAAACAGCATTCAGCTATCTGATTTTCCCCAGGGCAATCAAAACCATCACATTCCATTCCATTCTGAAATATAGGGAGACAAAAATTGCCTCCTCCAATCTATTTGCAAAGTTAATCTCTGAATGTGAACAAAAGATGAGCAAACAACTTTCACAAAGCACCTTTGCGAAAGTTAGTAGGGAGTGCTTTTTTGGGATAGGGAAGGGGTAAATGAAACTTGCATTTCGAAGTAGAGCCTCCTATATCCAGGAGAGATGCAAGAAGGAAGAAAAACCTCAGAGGTATACAATAGACCCCACTTTCACCTGCCTACCATCAGAATAGTCTGCTCCATAAATTACTTATCCGTGCTAATATCCAACTACACAGCAGGTGAACGGCACTCAACATGCAACACATTCCTTCCAACTCAATACAAGGAAGCTTCCGTCGGTGCATTCGCTCCATTGATTTCTCCGCTAATATACACTTTTGATGGCGATACAGTCCCATAAGGAGACTTGAACATGCCCCATGCATAAGATCGCAAGTTTCATCTAACTAGCATCATCTAGTCACTGAAAGTAAAATACAGCTCCATATCCAGAGATGGGCAAATCAAGCCCGACTATCATACAAACAGGGATTGAGTGCGGGTGGCGGGGGCAAAGGTTTGTGTGATCTTGAGTAGGCACTCTTATCTCCCCCCCCCAAAAGAAACAGCAAACCAACAAAAGCATACCATCTCCTTTGTGCCAAGAGGTTTCATTGCAAGGAATTAAGCCTCAAGTTAGCACGCTTCCTGGGAGATCCAGGAGGTCAGTGGGAATTCCGTCTACATTTGCGGGACTATCCTTGCTGGAAGCAAACCAAAGGCACAGACATGCAGGCTCAAGTGATTTCACTAACCTAGTTCACTTCTAAGTGCAACTCTCCCCACTCTATCTCCAGTTTTGGGAACTGGGCTGGTGATCTTTTCCCCCTTCAAGAGTTCAGGATGCACTCTTCCTACAGCTGTCAAAAGCAAAGGGGCAGCGGGGTGAAAAAAAGTTAAACCAGGAGTTTCCTTACGTCTTTGGCTGGCTGCCTCGAGAAATCCTTTTGCATCATCCTCCACCACAGCTCCAGAGCAGACTTCAAGGAGAGCCTCGTTAAAGGGGGGGGGGTTCAGTTTCGAAATGGATCCCCTCTCTTGCTACGTCAACAGCCCTCCTCTCCCTCAAAACCGGCTTCGCTCTCTCTCAGCTGCCACCTCGCAAGTAACACGTTAATAGATTATTGCAATCAACTACTGCAAAAAGGGAAGGAAAAAAACCACCCAAAGATAGAGGCTATCGTTCCTCCCAGATATGAGCTATGCTCTGCAGGCTTGAAGAGGCAGCAGGCTGGCTTTGGACAGGCTCCAGCCAGCAAGCTCCAATTTGCCAAGACCCCCGCCTCCTCCCCTTTTCCATCAGTATTGCCACCCAATTCCCCCCTCCCCACCACAGGCCTGGCCCGCAATGTCCCTCCCACTCAGTCACCCCCAGGGAAACCCCATTCATCAAGCGCTAGGGCTGATGCGTGGAGTGAATGTGGAGCAGGGAAAAACTGCAGGGCTTTGGAGCATGTTGGAGTGGCGGGGGGGGGGGGTGTGAGAGATCAGAAGTTGATCTTTAACTAGCAGCAAGAAAATTGTGAGGTGCAAGCGGGGGGGGGGGTGTCCTCGAAACTGTTCTTCTGCTTACAGGGAAAGCCACAATTTTCTGGAAAGCTAAAACCCATCTCACACATATCCCCAAAGCTGGGTGTGGTTTTTTTTGGGGGGGGTTGGTCCTTGGGAGCAGACCGGGGACTGGAATGAATGGAATAGGGGAGCGGTCTTCTGGATGGAAGAAAAGAGGGGCTTCTCACACACTCACGTTGCAGTCTTATGTTTTGGGGGGTTGAGGGGATGCCACAAGAGAAATAGCCACCTCCACCCTCGAATTCCTGGTAAACAGGATTACATTCCCGCACACGAAACGAAGACCCTAGTGCAGAAAACGTGCTGCCTAGTGAGAGGGGCTCGCCCTGCATCATCGACCGACGGGTTATCCTGTTGGCCACGTACGCTTCCAAAGAGAGAGAGAGGCAAGGGGAAAGATTTTTGTCACACAAATAGCTTGCAAGAAAAGCAGCCCTCATAGGGGCTAGGAACTTGGAAACCAGTTGGGGGCGGGACTCCCTAACTCGGGTTAGGGTTAGTATTTCTCCACAATCAGGCTCTCCGGGGCGGAGAGCGATATAACCCTATTGTCCCTGGGGTGAGGGGAGGGGGGCGCAACGAAGGAACCACTGCCACCCCCAAAGCCGTCGACATCCAGCAACTGCCCCACTCGCCCCTCAAACGCCGAGCGAGGCAGCCATGGCGCCTAGCCTGCCCAGCGCACGCAGAGAGGAGGCGAGAGGAACGGAAGTCTGCACGCGCTCAGGAGCACGCTTGTGGTTCGCGTCCTCCTTCGCCGGGTGCCGGAGCAGCGACGCCAAGCCCGCCTCGGCGGCACCTACCTGAGGAGAAGGGAGCGTCTGCCTGGAGCGGAGGAGGCGGCCGGGAGAGAGGAGCCGCAGCCCGGGCTGGGACCGGCTCGCTGGCTCGCTGGCTGGCCGGGGCTCCGCGCTCCTTCCCGGCGGCTCTTTGGCTCTGTTGGGAAAGTTGCCGCGGCCGCACGAGCGCCTTAAACCCGCCTCTCAGCAAGACGGGGCGGCCCGGAGGGCGGAGACTCAGAGCCGGACCTCCCCTCCGCCCCGCCCCCACGGGAGGCGAGGGGACGCCAAGCTCCGGCGCCTCTGAGCAAGTGCAGAGCGCCTCTTTCTCCCAACCGGCCAGCAACCCTCACAGCAAAACCTTCTGGGATCGGCGGCGGGATATTCTTAGACGTTGGCTGGGTCCCCGCCTGCTGGCTGCTTCTCCGTTGGGAGTCGAGAAGAGAAAGCGGGGCGCCTCTGAGCATGTGCAGAGTGCATTTCCGGTCCCGCTGGGCAGTAACCTCGCAGCATAACCCAAATGATGATGATGCTAATGTAAACCTCGCGGGCAGGGCCTCAGAATGACGAGAGGGCCACTCTACCGACCGAGCAGAAACCCATGTTTTTTTCCCGGGGGGGGGGGTGTGTCAGCATCTCTCCTGCACGTGTCAAGGTTCACGGGGTAGCTAAAGGCAGCTTGGATATGTATGAAGCCTCCTCGGAAAGGGGCAGTCTACCCCAGAATTTCAGGTACTGCTGGGGAAAGCGGGGTACCTGGGCGGCTCTGTTGGAAACAGGGCGAGGGGTGCCGTCAGGGCAGGACTTTGGGGGCAGAAGTCCATGACCCCGTTCATCGGAACAAGCAGGACCCACACTATACATAGCATATACCAGTAAGACTATTCAGTTGCAGCCAACACTTTGCCTACTCAAAGTAGACCAACTGAAATCAATGGGCGTGCAGTCCTAACCAGTCTACTCGAAAGGAAGTCCTGTTGCATTCAACAAAGCTTACGCCCAGGTAAGTAGGGTTAGGATTGCACTTGCATCCATTCATTTCACTGGGTCTACTTTGAGTAGAAGTAATGTTGGATGCAGCCTTTACCCCTTGGATGCCTCTTCAGTCTGAACCAATACTGTTACAGGTGCCACATAGCACTTTTTCTGCATTTCTAATGAACATTTTAGGGTGGCAGCAGCTACACTTTGGAACTCCCTGCCTATTGACATTAAGCAGGCACCTTCGCTCATTCTTTTTGGGTCCTGCTGTAAGCAATTTTGTTTAGGCAAGCATGTTAGACCTATTTCATCTCTTCCTAGCTACTGTTGGTTTTTGTCATCTTTTGGATGTTTTTAAACACTTGCTTTTAGCAGTTTTTAAATCAAGAATTTTAACGGTTTATTCCATGTTTTTGTAAATTAGAAAGATCTTTTCTTGCAATCAAGCAGTATATAAATTTTGTTAAGCAAACTGTGTACCAGACTGTGTACATGTAATACATTTAAAGCACATTTTTTACCCTAAAGAATCCAGGGAATTGTAATTTGTTTGGGGTGCAGGAAACTGTAACTGTGTGTGTGTATATATATGTGTGTGTGTGTGTGTGTGTGTGTGTGTGTGTGTGTGTATACACATATATATTCAGCAAGGTCTGGCCCTAACCAGCACCCTGGATGGAGGGCTGCTTGGAAAACCACCATATCTGCCAACTTTCAATTGCATGACAGACGAAAAGGCAGGATATCAATCTACTAAATAAATAGGATACAAATTCAGCAGTCAGCATTACCTGAATTTGCTATCAACTACTTGCGTCAAGACAAGAGCAGAGGATTATATGCACGTTTGCAGCTGCTGCTGGCTTCTGGTCCACTTTTCTATGAAAACCCATTTCCATAATCCCTTTGTCACTACAGAAAACTATTTCCCTGCCTTCCTCATCACGTAAGGTTGCAGCAACCTCTGCCACGTATCTGCCTAACACTGCTACTGCCCCATACATTTCAGCACGGGGGTGATGCATTCTCACATCAGTTTTATGCTCAGCACGCTGGTCTATTTTTAATTATTTTCTCCTTTCTTTTTTTACAAACCTCTTATTAACTCACAACATTAATAATAAATTAGCAATTGTTGATTAAATTAGGAGATGATTGAACGCCATTGCATATTGATTGAAATTTAGCAATGGCTTTATTGAATAAATAAGAATAAACTTAATTGCTTTTTTATTATTTGCTTAAGAATATTAAAAACAAATGAAGACCTACAGCAACAACAAAGTCGTGATTTGTGTATTTCCGTCTTAAGTTACTTACATTCTGCCCTAGAAGAAGATGACCACCGCCAAGGCAGGGAGGCTGCTGTTTGTTTGTTTGTTTGTTTGTTTGTTTGTTTTTAATTATTTAAGTGTTTATATTATGCCTTTCCACTAAGAAAGAGATCCAATGATTTTGGCAAACAAAATCAGTTCCAAATAATAAAAACACTTGAAATCATTTTTTAAAACCCCACCAAACCATAAAAGATCCATTAAAAATAAAGAAGCAGGGGATCAAACAGACACACAATGGCACTCATTAAAAGGCATATCAAAGAGTCAGCTACCCACAATCTTAGGAGAGCCATGATTCATCCAGCTCCATCATCAGGACATCAGCTTTTTCATGCAGCAGGTCCCAGGTTCAATCCTCAGCATCTCCAAGTAGGACAGGGAAAGACTCTGGAGAGGTGCTGCCAGTCAATGCACAGCAGCCTTCGCCCACCTGTTGCCCTTCAGGTGTGTTGGACTGCAACTCAGGTCATCCCTGACCCTTCAAAATTCTGGCTGGGGCTGATAGGAGTTCAAAACATCCTGGGCTTCAACAACATTGAGCTACATGACCACTGTTTGGCTTAGTAAAATGCAGCTTCTTATTTTACTACTTTGGGACTGTCAGAGGGAAGTCCAAGCTTGTGGAAAAAGAGAATTTGATTGCAGTGGTAATTTCATTTATTTAGTGATTTATTTCCCACCCTTCACCACATGGTCACAGGTTGCAACGTATCAGAATACATACCATACTACCAAAGTACACCGATTAATACAAACTCAATTTCAAATGCAGCCAAACATTAACTCCAGGATCAACTGAGCTGCCAACCATCAAGAGTGCCGTATTGTCCGGAATTCACTTTGGTTTGCTAGCCTCCTCACCCAGTCCACTACTGATCACAAACGCCTGTTCAGAGTGTCAGCTTCCTTACCTGGTTAAGTTAGAAAAGAGAAATAGAGATGGGTGTTATCAATATATTGATGACACTTCCACCCTCTAGTGGTTAATTGATCCCCTATGGCTGCAGAGAAGCCTGTATAAGCTTAAGTATAAGCTCTTCCTGGTAAGGGAATTTTCACCCACACATGTGCCAGCATGTCAAGCACGTGGTCCACCATACAGGTAGCTTGAAATGCTCTACCACTGATGTTTTAATTGCCCAACACTGAAGGCTTGAAGATCTTCAAGACCTCCTCCACCTGCTTAGGCAGGGAAGTCTGTTAGGAATCAGGGTAGGAGGTACAACACGGTCTCTTAAAATTGGATCTCTGCTGAACCTGTAGAAGAAGATGGAGCTCAGATAAAAGACAGAAACTCTGCTTCCTTGACTCCCTACCTATGCTGATGCTGTGCTGACAGGACGCTGAAAAACTATGACTGAGATAGGCCAACCCTTCCTGCAGGCCTGGCCCTACCATTAGTCAGAGTGAAGCGACTGCCCCAGGTGGCAGATGCTGAAGATGGTGGCAGCCTTCTGGTTGTTCCTCCTGAGTCTCTAGGTGTTCCCAACTATGGGGGGACAGAACTGCATGTGCCACACAACTTGCCTTGTAGCTCCTAAAAGAGTTTGCTATTCTCAGGTGTTGGGACGCGGGTGGCGCTGTGGGTAAAAGCCTCAGCGCCTAGGACTTGCCGATCGAAAGGTTGGCGGTTCGAATCCCTGTGGCGGGGTGCGCTCCCGTTGCTCGGTCCCAGCGCCTGCCAACCTAGCAGTTCGAAAGCACCCCCGGGTGCAAGTAGATAAATAGGGACCGCTTACTAGCGGGAAGGTAAACGGCGTTCCGTGTGCTGCGCTGGCTCGCCAGATGCAGCTTGTCACGCTGGCCACGTGACCCGGAAGTGTCTCCGGACAGCGCTGGCCCCCGGCCTATAGAGTGAGATGGGCGCACAACCCTAGAGTCTGTCAAGACTGGCCGGTATGGGCAGGGGTACCTTTACCTTTACCTTATTCTCAGGTGTGCTAGAGGCATACATTGAAGCAAGCTTCAGTTGCCAATCCAGTCAACAATCCAGTCAACTGGAATGTGGAAGTGGATGCCATCCTGTCGTTCACCTCAGTCAGCAAAATGTCAGGGGACGAGCCTACCTGCCAGTCTCACTGTACCATATCTTAATTATGTAGAACAGGTTGGTCCCCTGATTAGGAACATGTCCTGGAAGCTACATTTCCCTTTCACTGACCTGGCATTTAGCACCAGCAATTTCAGTGGTCCATTGACAGGTCAACTGAGGTTCCCTTAGATGAGAGACGGGACAGTTCTTAAGTATCTATTCAGAACATCATCCTCCCATCACTGTAACATACCCTGCCACTTACGCTGACAACTGGGGCGCCCATCCACACTGCCATAGAGACATGCACTAACCAACAAATGATAGAACGCTTGCTAATAGCAGAATTAAGACAGAAAAGGTTTCAAAAGGTTTCAAATCAATTTCCTATTTAAAGGCCTGCAGTACCAGGAGTGTTAGAGCTGATAACCCTAATTTAAACTGCCAAAGAGCAAAACATATTAACTGCAGCAAAAAAAATTACACGCAATTATTCACTGTCCCCAAACACATCCTGCTTGTGAGCCCAGATCTCACCTGCGCAGAATCACTTCTTTCAGGACCAATAAATCATGCCCCAAATTGTAGCCTGCTCTCACCTGGAATACAGAACTGAGTCCTGCTCTCACAGGGGGACCTTCCTAACAGCCCACTACCTTTGAATAGGGACTATGGCAGGGTGCATTATTTATTTGTGTATTGTTTCTGCAGTCCCAGGGCAACAGCCAGAGGTAATTGAGTGGTCAGGCAGGCAGGTGGGATAGGAAGAATTAAGCTCTTTGCAGCTGCTCCTTCTCTAGCCAATAGAAGGAGCCATGTTGTGCCCCTTTCTCTGTTCAGCATATTGTTATACGCCACCCCAATCTCCAAAGGGTGGTGCAAGAGACTTCAGGGGTTCAGGGTGCTTACCCAGGGCCTGTGTTTCCTTTTGGGAATAAGGCACAGCAAAAACACTGGTATCTTTAGGATACATGGTTTATTTACACAGATAGATAACCTGAACCTAGATGGGGAGAGTTCAGAACATACGCATTTCAAAGGGGTTTGCCCTCCTCTGTAAGCATAGCACTGGATTCAAAGAACAGCAAAAAGCCATGCTCTGTGGCTCTTTTGTTCCAGCCAGTCACAACCAGCCTACATCATGTTCTGCCCTCCACTTCTCTGCTTGCCAAACCACTTGCAAAACTGACACTTTTTCCTGTTTGTCTGAAATACCAAGCAACACACAGCTGGAAGAGGGGCCCCTCCCCTCCTGGTCTGGCAGTCTTCACTCACTCTTGGGGGTTTCCTTGATGGGCATCACTGGTCTTTGTCTCTGAATGGCTTGCACTCAGCTATTCCTGCCAGGCTAGTCTGGCTCGTTAGCAGAAGCTAAACCCAGGAATTTCTGTGCTTGGCACCGTTTAATCAAACCTTGATTAATTCTGACTTTTATGAATTCTAAGGATTATGGGTGCCTTGCACCCACAAAACTCTGGCACCCCAACACATAGCAAACAACGTGTTGAAAGCTGCTAGACACAGCACTGTGAGGAGGAAGTTTGACAGTTTAAGGGGTGCCACAGAGAAAGTCCTCTCCTGGGCACCATTACATACACAAAGCCCCCTCTGCAAATCTTAATATATGAAGGGAAGGGGTTTACACCTTTGGCATACATGCCTGGTGCATAGGCCAATGCCATTGTTAGCATTCATCCAAAGTGTAGACCAGTGAGACAGTAGGCAATAGCTGTACTCCAGAAATTACCAGATGTGGTCTCTGAAACACAAGGATGGGGTGCCCTGCCCTCCCCCAATGGTACCCTCTCCTGTCTTATCATGTGCAATTTAACTGCTGGAGTTTGGTTTCTTCCACATATTCCACCAGTAACAGAATGACAAACTCATGGGAAGGGAAACAAGGCCCCCCACAAATGTACTAAACTTCAAAGAACTCAAGCTTGTAAAGACAAAGATGGCACAGAGTTGTCTGTTTTCCTCTGTAAGTAGAAAATCAGATATTTAAAGAAAAATGTGCTGTCAGAATGCTGTTCAGAAAATGAGATGGTTCCTCCCTTTATAAATTTATCGTATCTCTAATATCAAAGTGCAGGCGATTAAGCTCACACGGTTCCTTTCTCAAAAGAGCAAATAGCAGCTGACAATAATGGTAGGAGAGGAAAACAAGATATTTTTGACTGTTCCTCCCCTCTCTCTTTTTGGTTCCTTTCTTCTGTAATAGAACTCTCTTTATGAATCACTTTATTCTTTTCAATAAGATACTGTCTGTGCAATCAGGGATGATAAATGGCAAATAATTGTAAACCTGATATTGGTTTTCAATATTGAATTTATCATGCTGTCCTCTTAACACATATTAAATACTTTAAAGAATTTATATATTTGTTAGATCATTCTGAGATTCCACCCACTCCCCCATAAGTAAAATTTATGAGTTTTCTAGTTTGGGGAAATCTAAGGGTTGACAACATCATTAATAACACTGAATAATGATGCTGGCCTCCTTTATAGCCAATCCCCTTTTACTAATCCAAAGGATCCAAATCAAATAACATATATTAGATTTAGGCGCTGAGACCAAAGGAAACAAAATAAAACGCAGTCCCCCTTTCAAACACACTGTGGCTGATTTTACGCAGAGTTTTTTTGCTCAAGCAAAAAAACAAGGTCTTCATCTGTACATTTCAGACCAAAGGTGCAGAGTCAGGACCATGTGTGGTGGAGATTAAGCACATGAATGAGCATAGGAAACGGCAGTGGAGACTTGTTCATTAGGGTGAACTGGGCATTGCCCCACCCATCTCAAAAAGCTCCCAGTTAGTCCCCACCTGCCTGCCTCCTTACAAGCAGCCAGGCGGTGGCTCCGCCCATTACTGGCTCTGGCTTTGACTACCCACCCGTCTCCGCTTTCCACCCTGCCAGTTGCGCAGGTACAAGCCACCACGGGGGAAATGTAAGAGGAAGCTATTAGTAATTCCCACAGGCATCTGGTTGGCCACTGTGAAAACAGGATGCTGGACTAGATGGGCCATTGGCCTGATCCAGCAGGCTCATCTTATGTTCTCAGGCTACCTTCCTGTTCATGCTCTCTTGTTGAGTGTGAGCATAAGTGAGACCTTCTTCCCTCTGAAGCACTCCGAACAGGTAACAGAGAACGGTGGCTGTGAAGAGTGATTGTTGAAAGTATAGAGGAGAATCAAAGCAGGCCAGCTGCTGAGGTCTAAGAGAGAGGTGCCCTTGAAGAAAGTCCCCATGGGAAGGTTGTTATCCAGAGCAAAGGATTAGGAATACACCTGCTTCAGCATCTTGGAAGTTCTCAACCTGAATAACAGATTCAGTGATATGCAGAAAGGTAGCAGCTGCCCCCCGCCTCCTGGTCCTACTACGTAATACTATTTTGAAGAAAAAGAAATTTGAAGGCTGCCCAGTTTAAAGATTTTAAAAAGCCCTAAGAAGGGAGAGCAGGAGTTTCCCATTTAATTAGCACCTGACATCAGACTAAGCAGGCACACAGACCACCAGGGCTGGATCTAGACACGTCAAAGGAGTGATTCAGTTACACGTTGCGAACTCATATAGGGAAATCCAGTAGGGAAAGACGGGGCTCCACAGCGCCATCTGGTGTCAAAAGTGTTATATCGCACATACAACACATATAAAACCCTTTTTCTTTACCAATCTAGCTGAGACATGGTCACAGTCTTGTTCCCTATCTACTCTTATAAATCAGCATACTGTAAGCAAATCTTATGCAAAGGTGTTCTAAGAAGAGTTCTGCTAAATACCTATCTAGTCCAGCACCCTCTTCGCACAGTGACCAACTTGATGCCTATGGTGGAGGCCCATGCGCAGGACAGAGGTGTGACTCTTTCTTTCTGGAGGTGCACTTTATGCTTTTTGTGAGGAGGGATATCTGTGTGTTTCCACTTTGACTTCTTGAGAAACCTTTTAGCCTTTTGAGTCTGACCTCAGTGTTTCAGCCAACACCGCCCCCCCCAAAAAAAACAGCCTGTCTCAGATTAAGACTCTGACAGACTCCCTGAGCAAAGCCATGACAGTTGAAGATGTTCAAGTCATGCCCTGAAAATAACAGTCGTTTTACTCACTGTCTAGCATGAAGTTTCATTCCTGGAGCTTGGAAACTTGCAGAACTGGTCAGGCTTCAGGGTCCTCTTCAGGCACAGAGGGAATTCAGTGGGGTGCAATTGGAGGATGGGCCAGGCCAGATGCTAATGCCTAATCAACTGAGCAGAACTGATTCTGCTTCAGAGGGTCTCCACCTTCTTGAAACTTTGCTCTGCATCTGTCTCCAGCTCCACCTTCCAGGCGTAGGTTTCCATATGACCCCAGGGCCCAGCAAATGCAAACGAAGTGGGAAATGGAGGAAAAGGCAGGAGAATTTCACATTTTTTGTGGCAGCTAAAGGAACAAGGGTCCCCTGGCAGTTGGTCAACTGGGACATTTTGGGGTTCACTTCCCCCTCTCTCAGGGAACAGCTGCTGCTCCACTTACGTCACTTTTGTCAAAGTCTTTAAACTACATGTTTTGAGTTTTATATAAGCAGCTGCATTTAGACGGTTTCGAAGCATGCTTCCTCCTCCTACACACAGAGAGAAGAGCAGATTGCCTGCTCTTGAAAGCAGACAGGTTGCTTGAAAAGAAGAAGCATGTGAGAATAGTCTGAGGCTGCCTGTGTCAGAACAATGGTTCATGGTTACCTTTATTTTTGGTAAGTTCTTTTTTCTTCTCTTTATTTTCTTTTTGCTCCTCCAGGGCGCCATCCTCTGTGGATCTTCGGTCCGACTGTGGGTTCCATGTGACCCCCTGGTTCTGCCCCTCCTCCCTTTCAATCTGCTTGCCCTGAGACAGAAGGCGCGAAGGGGAGCTGCCAGGTAAACCATCTGTCTTCATTATGAAGTGCAATGGATTCCAGTGTGGTGCTTTTCCTCTGTAAAAGAATATGCCACTGGAAAAAAAGATCTACATGGGGGGTGGGGGTGGGGAGATTGTTCTAACTGTATGCAAAATTATCACGGAGTTTACAACAAGGGAGGTGAAGGGGATTTCAGGTGATCTGGAAGTGTAAAGGTAAAGGACCCCTGGACGGTTAAGTCCAGCCAAAGGCAACTATGGGGTTGCGGCGCTCATCTTGCTTTCAGCCGGCGTTTGTCTGCAGACAGCCTTCTGCGTCATGTGGCCAGCATAACTAAACCACTTTTGGCACAACGGAACGTCGTGATGGAAGCCAGAGCACATGGAAATGCCGTTTACCTTCCCTCCACAGTGGTACCTATTTATCTACTTGCACTGGCATGCTTTTGAACTGCTACGTTGGCAGGAGCTGGGACAAAGCAATGGGAGCTCATCTCCTCACAGGGTTTCGAAACCGCCAACCTTCCGATCAGTAAGCCTCTAGAGCAGGCATGGAGAAACTTGGCCCTCCAGCTGTTTTGGAGTACAATTCCCATCATCCCTGATCACTGGTCCTGTTAGCTAGGGATGATGGGAGTTGTAGTCCCAAAACAGCTGGAGGGCCAAGTTTCACCATGCCTGCCCTAGAGGCTTGGTGGAAGGGCTGCAGCTTAAGGGGAAATGCTGTGGCTCAGTGGTAACAGAGTATTCACTGTGCATGCAGGGGGTTCCAGGTACAATCCCAGGCATCTCCAGGAAGGAAAGTACCCTGCCTAAAACCCTAGATAGCCCCTGCCAGTGTAGACAATACACTGAGTTAGAGGGACAATGGTCTGTTTCAGTGTAAAGCACCTTCCTGTTAGTGGTCTCATATTTATTTTATTAGATTTCTTAATTGACCATAAGATGGGTTTCATAATCGTAAAATTAAGAACAAGTAAAGCAATTCAAAACAAATGCAGCACAGTTCGCCAGAAGCGGCTTAGTCATGCTGGCCCCATGACCCGGAAGCTGTACGCCGGCTCCCTCGGCCAATAAAGTGAGATGAGTGCCGCAACCCCAGAGTCGGTCACGACTGGACCTAATGGTCAGGGGTCCCTTTACCTTTATAAGCTAAGCAAAACAGAAGAGGTGGGTCGCCCAATAATACCTTGACTGTCAAAGGTCAGATTAGAAAGCACACAGCGGAAAGTGGGTAACAGAAGTGCTAGATGCATCTTTGTGGAGTGGAGGTTCTGCAGTTTAGGAGCTGCCCCAGAAAAAATCCTCTCCTTCTCATAGGTCCTTGCCTTTTCTGCATTCTCCTTGTTTTCAGACCCTGTGGTATAATTTTGCCTACCTTATTTCCTTCCAACCAGCCTAAATTATTTGAAAACCTAGATCTTGGGGAAATGATAAATTATTCTATGTATGAAAAATTGTTTATATAATTCATTTGCATTACGTATCCCAATGGCAGAATGTGTGTGTGCGTGCATGCATGCCTGCATGTATCCCTTCCACTTAATGTTCAATGGGACAATAAAGCATGAGAATAAAATCAGCCTCAAATAAATTTGACTTCCTTTTAGGTCAGTGTTCCAGACTCCCCGCAGCTGTTTAAATGAAAATAGCTGTTCTTAATGCAAGATCAATGGAGGGGGAGATTGTTTGAATGCACCCAGCTTCTACAGAGAAAGTCCAAAGAGAGGGACAGAAACCAGAGATGGGAATTCACTAATTGCCCTGCAGAGACATTGTGGTGCCCTGGCTAGTCTGGACATGGGAGATGCAGCTGATTTGCATGGATTTTGGCAAACCACTACCTCTCCCTCCCACAGCCTTTGTGAAGATAAAAAGAGATGATGATATACTATAATCTGCTCTAGACTCTTGAGATAACATTCAAAAGAAATCTAAATATAGTCAGGTAGAGTACCTTGGTAGCAGGTAAATGAAGATTACGGTCTCAGGAGAATAAATTCCACTGCTGCTAGTTTGCATTATTGAGGCAGGTCGGGAGGAGAAAACATCAGGGCTGCAGGCCGACAGACACCTTTGTACTTTGAGAAAACAGCAATATCTTTACCGCAAAGCTCTTCCTGTTTTGCATTTGCATTGCTCGACATCAGTGCTGAACAATAATAAAAGCTGACTCACAAAAGTAAAGACCACAAGAAAATCCTGCAAGAACATAATGGAAATGTTGTTGTTATGGACTTTTGTGAGCATAAACAGTTTTCAAAATGAAATTGTCAAGGCTGGAATTTGCTATGCTCTCAAAAGTAAAGTCATTTTAATATTCAAGAGGGCCTCAACCAGTATGGATTTCTGCTACCTTCTCCAGCCTTGTGTTTTGCAATTTCCATTTTTTTAATTATCTGACACATGGGGAGCCACGCAATGGAGAACAGGGCCAGTGGGGAGGAGAAAAAGACAACTCAATAGGATGAAGGGAAACCAAAGATGGAGGAATGTTCTTTAAATCCTTGGAAGATAAGCCACAGAGTGAAAAGGGCAAGCAAAATATATTTGGGAAGCAGGACTCTTGCACAGCTCCCATTTATTTCAACAGGACTTGTACAGCAGGGTGTACAGAGAGCTGAGGATTTCACATTTCTGTTTCTTTGTTTAAAATAATTTATGTTCTGTTCAGAATTAAATCACTCCTTAGTTGATTTAATTGTTTCATCTTGATATCATTACTCCAGTATAAATACCACCCTTTCAGTTAGTTGTTGGCCACTGACAGGGTATGATCACAAACAATGTTTTTACTCAGCATAATTAAACTGTAATAAAAGGAAGGATTCTCTTACCTCTGTTTTCAACATGTTTATGGAAGGTGTCATGGGCTTTGAAGATGCTCAAACTCAGGATGAAATGGAGAAATGCAATAAGAGGAAGGCACGCTTGGCAAACCTTCACCATGATCAACTGCCATCCAGAAACCTATGTCCCCACTGTGGAAGGGCGCGTGGATCCAGAATTGGCCTCCACAGTCACTTACGAACCCACTGTTAAAACCATGTTATAGAAGTTTATGGAATCTTACTTGGCTGTGAGTGATCACCAAAGAAGAAGATGACAGTGAAAGAAGAAACAGCTTTTCAAGAGGATGAAATGTCATGACCTCGGGGTCAGTTTTGCCTTCTTTGGGAAATGAGCTTGGGATTCAGAGTGGGAGAGGGAATTGCCCTCTGGATCAGTACCAGAAGCCCCTAACCTACTGAAAGCACTTCTGCAAGTCGAATCTGTGGACCCAGTTCCCCTCTGACCCACATCTGACTCAAAGGGCTCCATCACATGAGTCCCAGAGTCTCACTCACCTTGTCAGATTCAAAGGTTGCCAGAGAAATCTAGGCCCCTTGAAGTAAAGGCAGAGCTAGCTACTGAGAGGGAGCTGCAATCTAAATAACTGGTGCTGAAGCAACATCTGAGCAGTGCTTGAGCCCTGCGTGGAGCTGTCCAGGGTACTGCCTTGCCTCTGCTTGTTCTGCCTTGCCTCTGCTTGAGATTGATGCTTGAATGAATGTGTTGAATCTCAGCTTTACTCCAAACACTGCATTTCCTGTGCATGATAGTGGCATTTTGCTGATGTGCTGTAAAGCAATCATACACATGCCCTCTGGATTTTTAATGTGCAGTCTATTAAATTATTACCAAATGGTGTGAAGCCCATTTTGTTTTACAAATGAAATACAGACTGAAGACAACAGAATCCTGCACTGACAGCTGATGGGCAATGCACCAGGATGAGCATGAAGATTTGGCTGCCATCCTGCCAAAAACACTCAGATCAATGGATAACCTCTGGCAAGTCATTTGACCTTCATGTGCCTTTGCCAGTTCAACCAGGAGTCTGCAAAAAAACCAAAACAAAAAAGCTCAGAGCACCTTGGTGTAATGCCGATCATCTTTCTGCATGAGCAAACGCCTTCTGTAAAAATGCAAGCAGGATGACACAGTTCATTCCTTCCTTTTCTTGAGTGATCAGCAAATAAATCTATCAACTTGCTTCTGTAAGCTTCATCCTCGTGATGGGTGACTGCATCATAGTTTTCACCGGCATGCTTAGAGGTTTGTCAGCATAAACTATGTTTTTATGCCTCTCTGGAAGAAAACACAAAGAACAGATGGAGGCTGTATGTACTGTGCAAAAATAAAAAAAATATTCACCACGAAAATCCAAATTCTGCAAATGAGATGCACATGTAGAATTAGTCATATTGACACACATTTGTTTTGCATAACTTACTATTTATCCAGGAAGCGGGCTTTGAAAGGAATTGGGAGATGGTTTAGAATGGGCTTAGAAAAGAGGTGAGATAGATATAAGGTTCTAGCCAACCGTCTCTGCTTAAAGTAAACCCATTAAAGATACTGGACGAAAGTAAGTAATGGTCTTTAATTTCAATGGGTCTACTCTGAGTATGACTAACACTAGATACAACTTGGAGATAGGTGAGGCAAAGGAAAAACAGCAGCCAGCATTAGCAGAGGGATAATGAACTATCCAGGGTGCTGAAGCACAGTGCATTAACTACACCATGGAAAAAGCAGCAGTTCACACACATAACCAACAGTGCATGGGAGTTGTCCCCACCCCTACCCATAGTTACATGTTTTGTCAGCCAAGAGCCTTCAGGTGTTGCATTTTTTAAAAGTAAGAACTCACACAAATGCAATTCCCCATTCACTCTCCATTTTACACCAAGCCACCACCATTTAACAACTATTCCATGCCAACCAAGAGTGATTTATGTGTTATAGCTGTTATAAATTATTTTATTTTAAAAGCTTGCTCATTTCTTTCTCTCTTTTTTTCTAGGGCCCATGAAATATTTTTTTCTATTTCTATAGTCTTAGATAAAGAGGCATGAATATCGCCTGCCATTCAGATTTTATTTTATTTGCTCCTGTAGTTTATAATGCTCATTTCACTATGGTTTCCCATAAAAGCAAGTTATAGCTTCTAAGGTATTAAGGACAGCATTTAAAAAAGGCTGTAACTTGGAAGGAGAGGGTAGCCTTGTACTGAAATCTGAGGAGTGTTTCATTGAGCTCATTACCAAAACATCAGCAGAAGTGGGGGGATCTGGGTTTCACATCTAGTTCAGATAGGCCCATATTTGACCAACACTACAACGGGGAAGTTCCAAAATTTAAAGGTCTGCACCCCCATTCCTGACAGGCTGGGCCATGGCTATTTCCCAAATAGGTTTGGTTGCTTTGCTGTGTATATAAAAGTCCACCTACAAATGGAAGAATGCTCCCTTGCCCTCACATTCTTAAGCTGTGATGTTGAGGTGAAATTGATGGATTCCATTTTAGCCACCGATCATGAGAAATTAAATGAGGAGGCAATCGACCTCCATTGAACTCTTTCCAGTTGTCATTTGCGGTACAAATGAGATAAGAAGAGTTTTCCTTAGAGGCTCAAGGATGTGCATTAAAATTCAAGAGAGAAAGGTGCCGGGGGGGGGGGGAGGTGTGATAATCAACCAGCACTTTCTCCTCCTAACTAAGGTGGACCTGATTCTGAATAGGTTTACATGAATAGTCAGGCATTGCCTGGAAAAAGGTAAAGGCCCTTGTGGGGAGATACATGAGTTAAGGCACACTATCTGGCTTCATTTCCCATATTATAGCCAGTCCATCCACCCGAGTTGTTGGCTGCTGTGTTTGGAACAACTGAGGTAAAAAGGCTGTGAGGGCCAGTAGGACATAGTAGTTTGAAGGCCAGACTAGAACGGGAAAGATTCTGGCTCCAATTCCTGCTCAGCCCCATGCTCACAGGGCAATCTTGGACCAAGCACCTTCTCTGAGCCAAATCTACCAAACAAGGTTGTTGTGTGGAATAAATGAGGGGCTTAGAACCACGTATACTACCCTGGACTACTTAGGAGAAAGAGGTGGTTTTTTTTAATCCAATAAAAATAAAAGCTCCATCTATGCAGTGCCTTCAACATTCTGATTTGCTGTTGGTAATAGAAGAAAGTAATATTAAACCATCTATCAAACTTCCTGATCTTAATGGCAGTTTGGGAAACTAAAATTAAAAAAAATCAGCAGCTCAGTTCCAGACAGTTTACTCAGAAGTAGGTCCTATTTAATGCAATGGGGTTTATCCTCTAGCACATGTGCATAGAACTGGAGTTTAAGGTTGCAATTCTATGCAGACTTAGCTATGCCCAAGACCATTGATTTTCAAGGGCTTAAGTATGTGTCAGGGTCAGGCTGCAATTAAAATAAAAGTAAAACAATTTAATCCAGAGATAAAGTGTAAAGTTGACTCTTAAACACATGGCAGCAAAAACAAGAGCTATGGCAAGCAAGATATTTCTATACAACCAGTAATGTTCATAAGCTGGTCTTGTAATTTCATGTTCCACTACTTGAATCCTTCCAATAAATTGAGGGATTTGTTTACGTTGTTGTTTTGTAGGGAAACACTTAATTTCTTGTTTATTTTGAAGACAATCTGCTTATGTTGTTATCACGGACTTGAGTGGATTTGTGTCTGTTGCATCTGGGCAAAGGAAACTCCCCATCATATAGCTTATCTTTACTGTATTAGTGAAACAGTGACTCCTAGTGACAAAAATGAAAAATGCATCCTGATGACTTGCAGACAGGCACCAGGACATTCTGCTAAATTATCTTCAGAGCAAAGGGTTCTTGGATTTCCAGAATTGGGGTTTTGTGAATCTTTGGCTGAAATTCTAAAACACTTAACTTGGAGCAAGCCTCACTTAAACCCAGTGGGGCTTACTCCTGAGTGAACATTCATGGGATTGCATTGCACAATTCTTAACATCTTCGTTTCAACCCTGAAACCAACCAGAGCAGTTCCTTTTGCTGTTGGCAACATGTTTCTGGAGACTAGCTGCATTTGGTTATTTTAATTTTCCGTATGTGATGAAAGGCATTAGTCTTGCCTGATGGAGAGAGGTTGGGAGGGGAACTTCTGTAATACGTAGATGACATAAAGTGCAACAGAGTTGTCATTAAAATGTCAAAAGATGATACATTACAGCTGTATTTATATGGGAAAGCGGTGTTGTGTATATCTCTGTCAATTTATTTCTCTTCTTTATTTAATAATTGATAACGGCTCTGGCATGCCACCCAAATCAAGATACTAATCAAGTAAAAAATGACAGCGTTTTGTCTATTCCAGTCTCCTCTGAGCCGGACAGCTAGCTGCAATATCAGTCTCCTGCTTCCATTTTTCAACAACAGATCCAGTTCTCAAGTTAATCCTGATGGGTTGGGACAAGATCACTCCTAAAACCATCTCTGCCAGGGGACCAAATCACAGTCTTCAATTCATTCCCTTTTGAACTCTGTTTGCCTAACAGGATCCAATGAACTTGGAAAACTTATTTTCAGATGCTCCTAATAAAGAGATTGCCTGTTAATGGATTCCTTCTTTATTTAAATAGACCAGAACTGCTGCCTCTGGCTTATAGTCGCTTTGGTTTTGTGCACTGCCTTGGATTTATAAATTTATGAATGACTGTCTTGATTTATACGTTAATTTTTAGTTCCGTTTTCCCCACCACCTCTTTTTTTCTCTCAATAGCTTGCTTTATTATCATTGCCTGCCACCTCGGAGGCCTTGATTTTTGCAGGGAAATGCAAGGCTGGCAAAATACCAGCCACAGTCTCTCAGCCTAACCCGCCGCACAGGGTTGTTGTTGAAATTTAAGTGGCGGGAGGAGAACTGAGTAGGTCCCTTTCAGTCCCTTACAGAAAAGGCTCGGTAGAAATGTAATGTGATGTAACTTAATTATTCTCACCATGAGGAGGAATGAGGCGAAATTAACCATGCCCATTAACAGGCAGCCCTGTTTAGGGAAGTTTTTAAAGTTTGATATTTTATCACATTTTTTAATTCTTCTACTGGGAGCAGCCCAGAGTGGCTGGGGTATAAATATATTATTATTATTATTATTATTATTATTATTATTATTATTATTATTCTATTCTGACGATGGGGTTTACTAAACTGCCCAAGGCTGTAACCGTGAGGGTGGAAAAGCGAATGGACGCAAACGGCCTCATCCGCTCAGGGAATTTCTCCCCTCAGGAAAACATGCCCGCCATTTTAAGGCGGCTCCGCCCCTTTCGGATCTCGCGCCGCGGCCCCGCCTCCCTGTTTCCCTCACAGGTGGCCCCGCCTCTTCTTTCCAGCCTCCCCGTTTGCCCCTAGCCCGCCTCCACGTTCCTCTCCGGACGGGCGGCGGCGGCGACGAATCAGGGCGGTGGGACGGCGCAGCGCGGTCGTTTGGAGGTGTGGCTTTCCCGCTCGAGCCCGCTCCCGCAGGCCTGGCTCTCTCTCTCGCGCGCGCGCCCCTCCCCCCCTCTCCAGATGCAGCGGACGGAGAAGGTGCTCCAGCTGCGGGGCCTACTGGGCCGCTCCGTGCGGGTGGTGCGCGAGCATTACCTGAGGCCCGACGTGCCTTGCGGCAGCGCCCTCTGCCGGGCGGACTGTCCCCGCGGTAGGTGGGCGGGGCGAAGGAGGGTGGGCGGGGGCACCGGTCTGTAAGCTGAAAGGAGGTGGGGCTGGGCCATTGGGGCGGGGCGTGGTGTCATGTTTGGGTGGGGCAGGGAGGGGAAATGTCTATCCAAGGCTCATGCCTGATTTGGCATTTTTAAATTATTATTTATTACATTTATACTTCACTTTTCCTCCAAGGAGCTCTGCATAAGTCTCTCCCTCCCCATTTTGTCCTGACAGCAACCCTGTGAGGCAGGTTTTTGCTGAGAGACCCAAGATCAAGCAGTGAGTTTCATGGCTGAGCAGGAATTTGAACCCTGCCCTCCTAAACTACACCAAACTGGCTAATACAGGAAAAGAGGTCACTGGGCATATGCAAAGTGTTTTCCTTGCTCCCTATTCAGAAGAGCAGGAAAGTGTTTGGCGGTTTATTACGTTTTTATATGTGTTGGAAGCCGCCCAGAGTGGCTGGGGCAACCCAGCTAGATAGGCAGGGTATTATATAAAAATATTGTTATTGTTATTATTATTAAGGAAGGGTTCAACTTTAGTACATGTGAATGGGAAAAGGAGTGGGGGGTGTTTCTGTGTAAGACACACACAATTGATTATTCTACATGCACATACATGGATGGCCAGAGCTCCCTGGTTGAGGGCCTGACATCCTCAAGTAGCTTTGGGAAAGGCTTCCTGTCTGAAACTTGAAAGAGTCAGTGTGGGCCATAATGAGCTAGATTGACCAGATATCTGACTTGGTATAATCTTCCTGAATTCGTATATTTCAGCTCCATGCACGTGGCTTAGTTATCCCTCTTTGGGCATTCACTAGGGTGGGAGGAAAGCGTCTGTGGTGCTTTATTTCATTTCTTTTAGGAAGCAGTAGAGTGCCATTTCCAACAGAACTCATGAGTACATAACTGGGGATGTGGTAGTTGTCCGGGATGAATAAAACAGGAGGAGAGGAGCATGATTGTCAACATATACACACAAAAGTATACTACTAGAACAGGAGTAGCTGATGTGGTGGCCTCTGGATGTTTTGAACTACAACTCCCAGGATCTCTGACTATTGCCACGTTGGCAGATTCTAGAATCGGGAGGGCACCACGTTGGCTATCCTAGTAAGGAGAACATAAGAACCACCCTGCAGGATTGGGTCAGAAGGCCCATCTCCTCCAACATCCTGCTTTCTGTAGTGACCGGTTCAATGCCTTTGGGAAGTCCACAGACAAACTGGACCCCTTGTCCATGGATGTTCCATGGAGCCATTGTGACTCCTCACATCGACTGTAGTAGCACTCTTAAGCAGCTCCTGTGCCTTTCAGTGGGACTGGTTTTGGATTTCATGTTGGTGCTAAAGAAGCAGGGCCCAAACAAGCAGGAGGAAGGATTTGTTTGTTTATTTATATCCTGCTTCTCCAGGCAATGCAAAGTAGTTCACAAATATTACCAAGGTGGTTACATTTACTCAATACATTTGCTAAACAGCAGCATAAAGAATCCTCAAAAAAACAAACATCAAACAAGGCAGCAAGAACCAAAAAGCAAAAAATAAATACCATAAATCCCAATCCAGACCACCAAAGAGAAAACCCAAATCAATGATTGTTTTAAAACTCCAGGCCTGGTCCAGCATTTAAAAGCAGCCATAAGATCTGTTAGCATCCACTAAAAAGGAAACCAGTTGTACGTACCACCAAGACTGGGAGAGGGGCAACACAAAAAAAGGCTCTGTCTTTTGTGCCTGGGAATTTGCTTGAGATTAATGGCAGGGCTTCCAAATGGGGCCCCTGTGGATGAACTTCAGGCACAAGCAGATTCACACAACTGCAGGCAGTCCTTTGAATAACTGCTTCCAAACTTCTGGGGCTTTAAAGGGTAACCACCAGCGCTTTAAGTTGGGCCCAGAAATACATAAGCGCCCAGTGTAGCTGGTACAGAATGGGTATTAGGCGCTCCAGCTGCTTGGCCCTCAAAACACCTGGGCAGCTGAATTTTACACCTGTTGTAGCTTCTGAACCGTCTTCAAATGCAGTCCCATGTAGAGTGCATTATAGTAGTCTAATCTAGACATAACCAGGGCATGAATGAGGCAAGGTTTGCTTTCTTGAGATGGGATTGAAGCTGGCAAATCAGGCAAAGGTGATAAAAAGCACTGCTGGTAACAGATAGCACCTATGTCTCTAGTGATAGCACTAGATCCAGGAGGACAACCCAGCCCAAAGTTCAGACTTGGTCTTTCTGGGGGAATGCATCCCTATCCAGTACTGGGCACACAGCTCCCTCCAGATCAACAGATTTTCTCTCCCACAGTATTTCCATCTTTTCTGATTACGTTTCTGTACAAACACAATCCATTGACTGAATCAGACTGTACCTATCTGCCCATTGTAATTTTTATCATAGGAATGAATCACTGGATGTTCCAAGAATAAAACTTGTAATTTGAAACTCTTCCAGTACGAATTTAGGGATTCTTGTATATTTTTTGAGGCTCGTTGCTAACTTTGTTGTAGCAAGTGGGAGTTAGAAAATCAGAAATGCTGTGTAGCAATGCACAGAAGATCCAACATCTCTCTTACATTATTTTCCATCAGAATTTAAGGTCAAATGGTTTATACCAAGTAGAATAAACCCTTTTGCCCTTTCCCCTGAAAGTAAATTGATTGGTAGCCTTTACTTTGCAGCAGCATATGCCTTTACTATTCAAATAAGGTTTCTGTCCTTGTTGCCAGGTTGTTACTGCAACGTGCCCTCTTTTTTACCTCAATCACCATTCATAAAGTGAGAAAGACTTAATGCCATCTAGGACTATCTGTCCATTAGAAGGATGGATTTGAGGCTCTCTGGGACCGTATAATTTTTAGTATGTACAGAGCAGCCTTCGCCAACCTGTTGGCATCCAGATATTTTGAACTACAACCCTCACCAGCCTGCTGGGAATTGTAATCCAAAAATCTGGAGGCCAAGAGGTGGACGAAGGGTAGTACAGAGTAAAATTAGTGAGCCAGCACTATTTTCCCCTCTCTTCTTTCCACTCCTTTCAGAAAACCCACCTTGTCCGACCTCTAGATGCTTTTGAACTATCAATCCCATAATATGTGACCCTTGTCCCTCCTGGCTGGGGCTCATGGGAGTTGGAGGGCAACACCTGAAGGGCACCAGCTTCCCCCTCTCCACCTTGCCTACTGCAACTGAAGCTGTAACCCACAGTACGCAGGTATAACTGAAATATGACTGCATGTTGTTCCCTTGTTTACCATACTCCACCCTTCTCCATTATAGGTTTTCCCCTATAGTCTACAAGACTGTACGCGCCTCAGTGTGGAGACACGTGCTCTGTAAAGCACAACACAGTCTTGTTGTTTGTCGTTTAGTCGTGTCCGACTCTTCGTGACCCCTTGGTCCAGAGTACGCCAGGCACTCCTGTCTACCACTGCCTCCCGCAGTTTGGTCAAACTCATGCTGGTAGCTTCGAGAACACTGTCCAACCATCTCGTCCTTTGTTGTCCCCTTCTCCTTGTGCCCTCCATCTTTCCCAACATCAGGGTCTTTTCCAGGGAGTCTTCTCTTCTCATGAGGTGGCCAAAGTATTGGGGCCTCAGTTTCACGATCTGTCCTTCCAGTGAGCACTCAGGGCTGATTTCCTTAAGAATGGATAGGTTTGATCTTCTTGCAGTCCATGGGACACTCAAGAGTCTCCTCCAGCACCATAATTCTCCTCCAGCACCATAATTCTTAGAGGCCATAAATAAATAAGCAAACAGTAACACTTTGAATTCTGTTTCAGGTGAGAAATTATTGTCCGACGATCTGACCCACTATGTTGTACCTGACTGGAAGGTGGTCCAAGATTATCTGGAGATACTGGAGTTCCTGGAGCTCAGGGGGATTGTTTTCATGCAAACAGCATGTCAAGCAATGCAGCATCAGAGAGGGCGCAGGTATCTTGATTTTTCACGAAGCCTCCTGCATGCTTCAAGTTCCTCCAAAAATAAAATGATAAATATTTGAGCATTCAGTCCTGCTCTGCATTACCCCAAGCCAGGAAGACTCGGCAGATAATCTTAAGAGGAGCACTGTTACTTTTATAGGAACCACAGGCTCCTCTCCTTCCTGGCTCTCAGCCAGGTCCTGACCTGGGCAGGTGATTCTCACATGTTTCTCTGTCTTCCCGAGTAGCCTTATTGGCAGCTGGCGCATGAAATTCCTGCCCGGATCACTGTTTCCCCTGCATCACTGTTCCCCCTGGTTCTGTGTTGGAGATGGGTGAATCCAACGGCTCTTTGTGGTCAGTGCCGGGGTAGAGATCCATTGGAGGGTCCTGTTGCACTGGTGGAAACTCAGCACCCAACAAACTCTGCATTGTGCAACCTGTTGCACAACAAAGCTGAACTGCTTATGCATTCTCTTGTGCAACAGCGGTCCATTGGCACAAAACATTTCTCCAGTGGAACAAGCATTCCACTAAATAACTTTAACTTAGTGCTACATTGGATACAGCCTCCCATCTTTCTTAGATGGCGAGCCCTTTGGGTAGAGATTGGCCATGCCTCCTTTTTTTGTCAAAAGCACCATATCCTTAGATGGCTCTCTATAAACAATACATATGGCAGATTTATT